CGACTCGACTCGACTCGACTCGACTCGACTGTTTGCATGAGTTGCCTCTGTCCCGGCCTCTCTCTCTCTCTCTCTTCTCTCTTTCCCAACGCGGCTATATCGGCCAATTGAAGCGTGTCAGTGATGATCGTGACGCTCTTTGAGTTCGGGGTGGAGCGCGGATGGCTGCGCGGGAAGGCACGGAGCGAGCGCGGCCGGCACCGGCGTCTGGTTGGGAAGCTTGGCATGTGGACACGGGTAGCTGTCGGTGCGCCTCGGCTGTGGGGGCGCGGCTGTGGAAGCGATGCAGCTGCCAATCGAACGCAAAATCGTCGCGGTGCGCACAGCAAGAGCGCAAAGGCGTAAATGAGCTGATGCGCAGACGGGCACATGGGCACGCGGGCACACGGGCAGCAGCGCCAAACTGCCATCCGCACATCTTGTGCAGGCCATGTGCCCGGCTTACTCGGACTCACAGATTGGCCGGCTTCCGAGGCGGACTTCTTTCTCCACACGACGGACCGACCGCACTCGTTGATTCCCCTTCCTCATGCTCCCCCGCCCTCGCGGCTTGGCCTCTTCACCCTCCTACCGTCACGACCAACCACTCCATCCGATCGCGCCGACGCCATCTCGCAATCCATCCACGTCGCAGCAAGCATCTACAACACCATGCACTCGTAACAGCCCACAGAGCGTGCTCGGCTCACTCGAGGGCAGCACCTCAGCAGCCACTCTTCCACCATGCAGTCGTCCGCCGCCATTGACGATGCCTTGACGGCCGGGGCAAAGCTTAGCGCCCATCACAACATCCCCTATACCCGCGACATCTGGGCGCGCGCAACCGCAACGCGCGTCTCCGCCTGTCTCAGCGCTGCCTTCGTGCTCGCGCTGTGGTATGTCGCCTACCATGCGCTCGTCGGCACGCGCGCATCCTCGCGTGGTGCCAAGCCGCTCTGGCAGCTCTCCACCATGCTCGCCGACGACGCCTCCATCGACCGCCTCGACACCGAGCTCGACAGCGACGAGTACGAGGACGAGCACGAGTCGCGCGCCTCCGGCTTCCTGGCCAACGCACGCGAGCGCCACGCGCTCCGCAGGATGCTCGCACGCAACGAGGGCAAGCGCTCGAGCATCGTCCGCATCACCTCGTCCGATCCATCCAGCTCGCTGAGCGACCATCCCATGCAGGTCGACCTCGAACCGCCCACGCGCCGGTCCTTCTGGCCCGCACCTGCCTCCTCGACGCCCCCCTCCGACTCGGCGGCGAGCTCACCTACCTCCTCGACACCCCCACCTGCCTCGGCGAGGCGTCGCAAGGAAAGCGGCAGGCTTGCAGCAGCCGAACCCGGGCGCAGACAGCATACTGCCAGCCCCAGCCGGTCTCCTACGCTCTTGTCCGGGTCGCTCCCCGTGCGTCCGACGCGCATCCGCCCCGTCGATCGCTCGCCCCTCGGTCGCGTCGCATCCCGAAGCAAGCGCAACGGCTCCCCCAGCCTCGGCACCGACGCTGCGGACGCCAGAGATGCCTCGCCCAGCCCCACCTCGCCCCTTGCAGAAGACTGGGCAGACGAGTCGCAGCTCTCCCCCACCGCCGCTTCGGGCGCCGACCACGAGGCGCTGCTCACCACACCCAGTCTGGCGTCGGAAGCGTCGTTCACTTCAGCGATACCTGCATCGCCCGCGTCGAGCACCTTCTCGCTGCGCGCACCCTCCATCCTCAAGCGCCGCCCGCAGAGCTTCCGCACCGCCTCGCTGCGCGACATCGACATCTCGTACAGCCTCATGCAGCGCAAAGCCTCGCTGCCCGCGCTCCCGCTCGCCGACATCCAGCAGCAGCAGCAGCAGCACGACTTTTGGCACCACGCTGCCATGCATTCCTCACCCGCTCCGCCGCCGTACCAGCCTTCGAGTCCCGATGCAAGCCACGCCGCCGAGCGCAGCGTCAAGCTCATCGAGCCCGACTGGCGGCCGCATCTGGACTCGCACGTGCGTGCGCAGGAGCGTCTCGAGGCCGCCACGCGCTTTGCCACTGCCCAGGGCACCGACGGCGACTTTTGGTTCGAGCGCTTCACCCAGAGCACGGCGGCGGCGGGGCGCGATTGGGACTGGCGCAAGCGCCGCGCGCGACTCCAGCGTGCTGCTGCGCTCGGCATGGCGCTGGGGCAGAGCGGGCTCGCGAGTCCCGCCGGTCCGCTGCCGGGTAATGTGGGTAAGACCGATGTGCAGCTGCAGCATCAGCTGGGTGCACAGCCGACGCCCGCTGCTCAGGCTGCATCGCCGGTGCGCAAGGTGCTGCCCGCCGCACCGCTCATTACGTTCAGCGAGCACGAACTCAAGTCGGCGCCTGTGCTCAAGGTGGATACCGAGAGCGGACGCAGGCCGGCACGCACCAGCATCGATGCTACCAGCCCCACGTACAGCGCTACACCGCTCAGTCCGACGCCCAGCGGCACGGGCACACCGCTCGGCGGCATCTTTGGCGCAGTATTGCCGTCGGCCGAGTCGGTGAGTGCCGTCATGGCCGCGCGCATGGCGCAGCGCCGGCGCGCAAGCGACGACGCCACCGCATCGAGCGCCATGCCCGCCGCGGGCGATGCCACCACGATGCGCAGGGGAGTCGTGGACAAGGCGATGCGGCGCAGGCTCTCGGCGTCCACGAGCTCAGCGGTACCCAGCTCGCCCGGTGCATCTCCCGCGGGCTCGCCGTCGATCGAGGGCCGTGGCTCGCCGCTGCGCGAGGCAACGTCGCCATTCTCGTCCGACGCGGGCAGGACCAGCATGGACACGCCCAGCTCGCCCGGCGCGTCGGCGATGAGCGTGCCCGGCAGACTCAGCAGCCTGGGCACGGTGGGCAAGAAGGTGTCGCTCACCAACCTCCGTGCTGGCTTACGGCGCGGCTCGGGCAGCACCGACTTTATGCACGACGCAAGTGGCATTGAGCTTGTGCCCAACTCGCCGGAGCTTGCCTTCGACGCCCACACGCACGCCGACCCAGCAGCATCACCTTCGCCCGAAGGCCCACGTAGCAGTGCCGATGCGTACAGCGCGCCCGATCCACTGGAGGATATCGTTCTGTCGCGCACCGACTCGCAGCTGCGCCATGCCGACGGCTCGGACGGTGGGGGGCCCAAGCAGCGCGTGCCAAGTGAGTCGCCGCAGGCCCCACCGCAGTTCCGCGGCGGGGCACGCGTGACCAAGCTCGGCTCGGCGCCGGCGGCGGTGTTGAATCGAGCGCCGTACGATGTGGTGGAGGAGCTGCGGCAGGATCGGGAGCGCGGCGAGCGCGGCGAGCGCGACTCGATCTCGCAGGGTTCGTCCGACTCGGACTCGCTGCGACGCCGGCTGCGCTCGCAGACCGACTCGGCCGCGCGTGCGCGCATGGACTCGGTGCTGCTCAACTCCAGTCCCACCGCACGTCGCGACGGGCCGGCGGCGCTTTCGGCGGGCACGGCGTCTTCGCCACCCACAGCCAAGACTCGCGCCCGCGGCGGATCGCGCTCGAGCATCGTCAAGAGCGCCTCGGGTGCCAGCAATCACCTCGACCGCTCGGCTATGCGGCGTTCTTCGATGCGCAGTGGGTCGGATTCGGGATCGCTTGCCAGCAGCACGTCGCTACCGAGCATGGCGAGAAGGAGGGGAAAGGACGCGACGCCCGATCCGCAGCTGCAGCCCGAACCGGCACCGAGGGGGATGGCGCAGCGCGCACGCTCGGCTAGCATCAGCAGCAACGCCAGCAGTCTGGCGTCCGGCAGCAGGAAGTCGAGCAGAAGCAATAGTTTCAGGGAGACAGCAGGGTTGGGCATGACCAGCAATCCGGGCACGCCGGGATCGCCCGAGGAGAGAAGGGGCGATCCGTTTAGCTTGACGCCGCTGCATGCCCAGCAGCCCGTGTGAGCGGTCCTGCAATGCGAACTTGTTCCGACCAGTGCCTGCCTTGTGTGTGATTGAAGTGTCGACAGTGAGAGTGTGAAGAGCGGGCTGAGGGAGCTGTGGGGTAACGTTGGTGGTGGGGCGAAAAGTTCGGAATTCGGGTGCTTTCCATTTTTTGGGAGCGCCCGACGACTTCCGAGGGTCCCTTTCTTCTCACCCCTCGGCATCATCCCCCACCATCCACACCACCATATCACGATGGCGCACTCTTTACGAGCGCCACTTGGCGTCCTTACTCCTCGTAGTTCTATTCCAGCAGTACGATGTTTCAGTGTTTCAGCCATCCGCCAATCCAAACCGGCATCGAAGGAGGTGGCATCGAAAGAGGCTGTATCGAAGGGTAGTTCGAAGCCGCTTGTTCGCGAGACATCCGAGTCACCAGAAGAGCTCAATTCGCGACCTCTGCCTTACCTCAGCTTTGCGCTTGGGGTGCCTACGCCTCCTTCGGCGACAAAGCCGACGTGGTCGGAACGTCGAGAAAAGTTGATCTCGCACGATCACCGCATGGCCTCGCGCAAGGCGATTGTAAAGGAAGCTACGCGCGGCTACTTTCACGACTTTCATGCGATCAAATCCCACGGCGGCAAAACTTGGCGCGCCCCCAATACTCTCATCAAGGACGATCGTGCATTGTGGTTCCCCAGAGTAGAGGGCACGAGGTTGAGCGATAAAAACAAGGTCAACACCGTCGACATGCTACGCGGAAAGGTCAGCATCATCGCCTTGCTCGGCAGCAAGATCAGCGAAGAACATACAAGATCCACCTACAAACAGGCACTGGACACTTTTGCAACCCACCCAGCCTTTCAACTCGTACAAGTAAGTCCACCAAAACCCTCCCCCATCTCTAACGCAAGCAAAAGCGAGCACTGACACAAGAAGAATGCACAGATCAATCTGCAAACCAACCCCCTCAAGTCCTACCTCGTCTCTCTCTTCCTCTCGTCCCTGCGCACACAAATCCCCCCCGAACTTCACCCTACCTACATGCTAAGCTCCCAAGACCTCGAACTGGAAAAAGACCTCCTCGGCCTACACAACAAACACGTAGGCTACACCTACCTCATCGACCACCACGGTCGCATCCGTTGGGCTGCAAGCGCCTTTGCCGAACCCGCAGAATCGACAGCACTCAAAACTTGCACCGCCATCCTCCTAGACCGCGCCCTCGAGGCCAAAAAACCCAAAAAGTAAATCGACATTACATGACCATACACTCGTCGCGCTTCGACGGCTTTTGTGGCGCAAAGCCCATCTCGGCAAAGGTGTTGTACGCCTTCTTGGAGTCGTCTGACGCGGTCGCATACGTCGTGCCTGAAGTGTTGCTCGGCGTGACCGAGGATGCGGGCGCATGTGCTGGGGCAGAGTAGTCCGTCGCCGCCGGTCGAGGCGCCGGCGCGGAAGCAGCAGGCTTGACGGCAGCAGCCGGTCGCGCAGCCGAAGGTGCGGAAGCTGCGTTCGGGTTCGGAGCTGCAGCAGCTTCGGACCGCCCCCCACGCTCGTAGCCGCGATGGTGCCGGCGTCGACCCGCCGCGGTCTCTTCGACCATCTTCATGGTCCTTTTGCGCGACAACTCCAGCTGATTGCCCGTATTGCCACCTGGCGCCGCCAGACGGCCGCCGGTGCTTGGAGCCGGAGTCGGACCGGCCTGTCGGCGCGGCGATGTGCCCAGCGGTGCGTCCGGCGCGGGCGCGGTGGGGCTCCTACCCTCGCGGTCGCTGAGCATCTTGGCCTGCGTGCGCCTGCGCACGAGTTTATCGTCCATGACCGCCTCGTGCTCGTGCCTCGACAGCCCCGTAGCCTGCGGCGCCTGCAGCGCACGCAACCTCTCCTTGGCATCCGCATTGTCCTTGGCCGCCGCCTTGGTGTACCACTTGCGCGCGGCGTCGACGTTCCGCTCTGTGCCGACGCCCACTTCGTGATAGTAGCCGAGCGCAAATTCGGCCGACGCCAGCCCGCGGCGCGCCGCCTTGTCGGCAAACGTGTAGGCAAGCGTCTCGTTCTTTTCGAAAAACTGTTCGGCGCCGCAGAGGAACCACTTGGAGAGCGCCATGTCCGCCTCGGTCTCGCCGCCCTGCGACGCAAGGCTGTAGTACTGCACGCTGAGCAGCGGGTCGAACGCACATCCGAGCTGCGCGTACTCGAACAGCCAGCCGCACTTGTACTGCGCCGGTGCAAACCCGAGCCACGCCGCCTTCTGGATGCGCCGGCGCGCCTCGTCCTCGACACTCCCGCCGGCCTGTGCAGGCGCGAGCAGGTGCGGCGCGATCTGGACGTGCGCAAACTCGCCCGCCAGCAGCATGCCGTAGATGTACGCCGGCTGCGGCGTGTCCACGTCCGCTTTGTCGGCGGCATCGCGCAGCATGGCGATCGCACGCGCATGGTTGACACCCACCTCGAGTTGTCCCAACAGGTTGGCCATGCCCAGACGATAGATGCAGCCGACGTCGCCGGCGTGCACGCCGCGGTCGTACGCGTCGCGCGCGCGCGCATGGTCGCCCAGCACCTCGTAGTCGCGTCCTATGCGGAACCAGCTGGGCGCCCAGCCCATGCGTGCCGAGAGCTCAAAGTCGTTGAACGCCTCCTTGAGGTTCTTGGGCAGATACGCCGGGAACGCGCCCGACGCCTGCAGGTCGCCGCGCAGGTACAGAGCCTCGGGCTCGGGCCGCGCCGCCGACGCGCTCTGCTGCACGATGGCAATGGCATCGTCCGTCCACTTGACCAGGAAGGGCTCGCTGATCTTGGTGCCGTCGGCGAAGTTGCGCTCGACGTACTTGAAGATCTGCTTGGCCCACGCGATGCGCTGCTTGTCGTCGCGCGCTCGCTCTCGCTGCGACGCCAGCGCCGCAATGTCTGGCAACGGCGCCGACAAGCTCGGTGGGCCAGAGGCTTGCGATGATGACGAGTTGGCGCCGTAGACGTCGTTGGCACTTGCGCGACGTGCTGCCGAGGCATGCTGCTGGTGTGAACCGGCGCTGCTGTTGCCTATCGACATGTTGTGCATGCCGTTGGAAAGCTGCTGCGAGTGTGAGTGTGATGATGTGGGTGCGGGTGCAGCGGGCGGTGGCGGGAGCACGCGACCCGGTGCTGGCATGGTGGATGTGGATGCGGCTGTGGCTGGCTGCATGTGTTGTGGAGGTGGGGTTGCGAAGCCTCCGACAAAGTGGCTCTGGGATGAGGGCGGTGGTGGTGTGGGTGCGTGGACGAACTGGCCTGGCCTGAGGCCCGAAGAAGGCGGGATGGCCGAAGATGCGTAGCTGGCGGACTGGTGTCTACGCCGTTCCTGCTCGAGTGCGCCGGGTGGCAGCGGCGGCAGTGGTGGGCCTGTGGGGCGGTAGGTGGGGCCCGAGAGTGCCGATGGACGCGGCAGCGGTGCTGGTGCCGGCACGACCGACGGCCTGGGCTGAGAGGCGG